CTCTGGACTCCCATCATGATCTACAGGGATGTCAGCAAAACTCGAAGAATGTGAAGAACGTTTGCATAACTCAACATCAAGGGATCAATTCCTTAGCTGTTCTCTTCCTTTTTCTGTGCTCAGTTGCAGGTGGAAAATGTGAATAAGACATGTTTGCAGGGATAAAGAGGTTCATTATACTCTCCCTCCTTTAGGCATTAGCTCTGTAGCTGTGTGGAGATTTCAGATGATCCTGAACTCTAGTGAACTTTATTTGCCAACACTGCCCCCTACTGTAATAATAAGAAGTGTGCAGACATTCATCATTTCAGTTCTTTTGATCTCTGTTTCTCTGCACAGGGAGCTAAGATTAAGGAATTATACTCCAGAGGATGAAGAGCTGAAGGAGAGGCAGGTGACCAAAGTCAAACCTGCATCAGGTGATAAAATTTGAAAAGCAAAGGTTTTTGAAAATGAACTCTAATCCGTTTTTACTCCAGGGAAATTGCTGCCTACATTGAGTCATGCTAGCTGCTATAATAGCTGCAGATTTGTTTGGTTGCAGTGGAAGAAAAAGTAAAAGATCAACTTGAAGCTGCTAATCCAGAGCCCATAATTGAAGAAGTGGTAAGAACAAGTTTCTGTTTAAATGGGATTTGCATTAATTAAAGATTTGTTAGCTGTCTCATTCTGCAGCATTTTGTTTTAAGGATTTGGCCAATCTTGCTCCAAGAAAACCAGACTGGTAAGACCATGTTTTAAGAAAAAACTCCCACTTGTGTTTTGCATAAAGATATTTAGCAATTTTTATATTTTCCATTCAGGGATCTAAAGCGTGATGTGGCCAAGAAACTGGAGAAGCTGGAGAGGAGAACACAGAGAGCCATTGCTGAGCTCATCCGTTAGTATCGGTCCTTCTTATTTTTTACACGGGATCACAAGTTGTTCATCCGGTCACTTAAATGGGTATGAACTATTGGGCTAATTGCTCTGTGTCGCTCTCCCCAACCATAACCCTGAAGCCTGATTTATACTTCTCTGTGAGCACCGCAGCAGAGAGACGCACAGGGAGTGTCGGAAAGGTTTTCACATGCAAACTTCTTTGCAGACAGTGGAGTGCTGCTGAGCAATTCCCCGCCAGGACAACAGAGAGAATAGCGTTTTTCTGTGGTAACCTGCCACCATAACACTTATGTATCTGGTCCATGCTAGCGTATTTGCTAATGTGGGTATATATTTCAGAGACTACAGTACAGGCCAAAAGTTTGGACACACCTTCTCATTCAATGTGTTTTCTTTTTTTTTCGTGACCATTTACGTCAGGAAATTCTTACTGAAGGCATCAAATCTATGAATGAACACGTGGAGTTATGTACTTAACCCAGACAGGTGACATAACTGAAAAGATGTTTTATATTCTGTTTTCTTCCAAAAGCCACCCTTTGCTCTGATCACTGCTTTACACACTCTTGGCATTCTTTTGATAAGTGCAAAGCTATAATCAGAGCAAAGGGTGGCTATTTTGAAGAAAATAAAACATGTTTTCAGTTATTTCACCTAAATATCTTTTTACTTTTTAGTGGTGCTGGTGACGAGTTTACAAGAAGTTGTGTCCAGTCACAATCACAAAGCCTCTGTCACTTTTGACAGATGTTTAAAAATGTGGGCATGTCTCCGTCACCAGGTGCGAGCCCGTCGCAGAGCCCTTGCTCTGAAGCAAACTGGCGTTGCATGTTTCCGCACCGACGTGGACGTAGACGTATGAATCAGGCTTGACTCTACAGATGGCTAAAGCTCTCTGAAAAACATTGGCGGTTTGATTCATACATTGAGGGACAACTTACACACTTAGACTAAGTGAAACGTTGCAGGATAATAGAACATTGTGAAGGAGTTGAAATGTGGGAAAGTATAGCCCGTTGAATTCTGTTTCTATTGTTTCTCTCAGATATTTAAGAGTTGAAAATGGTCAAAATATTATTTAAAATGGAGAGCGAGAGGTTGTGATGAATGGATGTTTAACTTTGAGGGCTTGTGTGTGTTTTTGTGACCAGGGGATCGTCTGCAAGGCTGTGAGGAGGAGCTGGCTGGAGCAGTAGGAGAAGTTGGAGTGGATCAGGAAGATTCAGATTGAATATGATGGGACATGGTAGTAAGGAGGCAGAATAAGGATAGCATTGATTCAGTGGGCCTGTGTACAAACACAACTACTCAAGTCGATAGTTGTCTCATTCATCAGACATTCTTAACAACATTGCTTTGTTGTATTTTTCAATGTATAAATTAAAAAGGCTTTTTGTTTTTCAAATACCTGGCAGTGATCCTTTGTCATGAGAACATTAAAATGTACAAACAAGACTGTTATTGAAACAATGTCAGAACACATCAACATCTTTGAGCCTCCAATGAGGGAATAAAATACAGGCAGATAACATATCACCCCAAACCATCACTGACTGAGAAAACTTTACACTGAACCTTAAGCAACGTGGATTCTGTGCCTCCTCTCTTCCCCCAAACTCCGGGACATTGACTTCCACAGGAAATGCACCATTTCCTTTCATCAGAGAACATAACTTTGGACCACTTAGCAGCAGTCAAGTCCTTTTTGTTTGTTGCTCAGCCACGGCACTTCTGGCATTGTAGAAGAGTGGCTTGACACAAGAAATGCAACAGCTGAAACCCATGTTCTGTGTGAGGTGGTTCTTCAAGCTCTGACTCCAGCTGCAGTCCACTCTTTGTGAATCTCCCTCACATTTTTGAATGAGTTTTGTTTCACAATCCCCTCCAGTGTCCGATTATCCCTACTGCTTGTATACTTTTTTTTCTACCACATCGTGTCCCTTTTCCTCTCTTAATGTGCTTGGACACAGCTCTGAACAGCTAGCCTCTTTAGCTATGGTATTTTGTGTCCAGCCCTTCTTGTGCAAGGTGTCAACAGAACTAGACTGAGAGACCATTTAAAGTGCATGTCAAGTGTGCCTCAGAGTCTTACCCCACCCACGTATCAATTTTAAAAACTGCAACATTAGTAGGCGTTGCCTGGAGGACCGAGAGGGCGGAGCCGCGGCAGTGACGAAGACGATGGCTAACTAGACGAAGCTAGCTCCCTTCACTCTGAGCAGTCATTAGAAGTGGAGGACGTTTCTCCCCCTCCTTACCCAGACACTCGAGAAGAAAGGGACCAAGTCTAATTGGAGGAGACAAGCGGACCCGAGCCTTATTGTTTTGAGCTTGTGAGTTGCCTGAAATTACCGGAACCGACCCAACAGAACCATCTCTGAATGTAAGTAGCCGTTAGCCATAGCATTGGATTAGCTGCAGGGTTTGTCTCCACGGCCCGAGAGCTAGTATTCAGCATGTTTTAGAGATTTATCTGCATCAACACACCTGGTTTTAATCAGCAACAAACAGCTGAGCTGCTTAACAGCTTATCTAACCTATTAAAGCAGGAAAATTCACTGAAACGTGCTGGATAGCAGGTCTCCAGGAGATCTGGGCTCAAGCTACAGTCTGCTGCATAAAGTTATGAAAATATCCCATGAGAAAATTATTCTGTAATGTGTTCAGCCCACTAAAACTGCCCTGATTTCATTATTTATTTACTGATACTAGCTGCTCTTGGTTGCAGGTGATCCTCTGGTGTCTGCAGCTGGTCTCCTGCTGGTGTCGTCAGGATCAGGAGCTTCCAGAAGAATGTGCCTTTCAATGACTCTTTCCCCCTTATTTGTTATATTAATTAAATAAATCTCAATTTATATATTTCCTGTTTTTGTTCATGTCCATAAATACTTAAACATGCTTGAAATTAAAACGAGCTTTTAACAGTGAGGTGCTAGTTTAGTTCATCACAATAGAGCTAGATAAACATGCGACAATGTGATAATTCAATTAATGCAATTTATTAATATCCATTAAAATATCAAAACTGGAATCAAAATGAGATATTTGGCAGCACAAAAAACTTGTCAAACACAATATTTATTATAATAATTGTAGGCAGACAGGAGACAGAGCTGATGGGGGTTCTCAGTCATCGAAGGATGGCTGAAGGCTTTCCAGGAACAGGAGATGTGGTGTTGTCTCTTCTCTATTCTGCCAGATGAGCTGATAGGTTACAGGTGTGTGAAGACATCCTTATGCTGTCATAACCAGATGACAGGTGTGTGAGGACATCCTCATGCTGTCATAACCAGATGACAGGAGTTATCAGGTGATCAGCCAGGCTAATGATGAGATGCAGAAAGAAAACAAATCCAGGACAGTGTACAGTAATAAAAATAATATGTGGTGTTGCTCACCTTATGTGCTCTTAGAGTTATTAACGTGTGCCTGCCTCATGGTGTAGAGTCCATATTTTGCTGAGTGTCCTGCAATAATGCAGGTTATTAGTTAATTTACTTTTGATAGCAAAAACAAAATATTTAATGTAAAAGTTATTTACCAGGTGAATCAGCTCACACGTCACCACCAAGTGTCACAGGGCCAGAATCAGTAGCCTCCTTCATGATGTAATCACATACTTATTTAATTGTTAATATCTTAAAAATTCAGAAATGTTTTAATTTTTTTTACCTTGAACAGTTCACTGAGCTTGCACTGTCACTGAGGTGGAAGCTGGAATCAACAGCAGACACCTCACATCGTGGTCTTTTCAGGAGGTGTGGATGCTCTGGGACCTTCTGGAAGATGAATTTCTGTCATGGTCCCTGTGTCACAAGACACTGAGGCTGTGAGCTCTATAAAAAACAAAGAAGCAGCACATTTATAAACATTTAAAAGAGCATAAAATCACTTGTAACAATCTGTAAAACAAATTAAAACTAGAAGGTAATAAAATGTTTACATAGAAGATTATTAAAAATAATTCACCTTTGCTACGGGTAACACCACGTCAGCCTGGACAAGTGCATTCTTGCAGATTACTAAATCAGTCTGACAGCCAGTGTCTTGGGTAGATTTAGCCTGAAAAAAAAAATAGAAGCACATTGATGTTTATAAAGTCAGATAAAATACAAAAGAAACTGTCCCATATAGGCGCTTTATAACATTCCTAGTGTGTGATGTTATTATAACGTACAAGTCAGTCACATATGATGTGGAGATCCTGAAATGCGACCTCCTGAACAGAATTCCTCACGGAACCGGGTCACGCTGTGCTGGATTTCACGCTGTAATGATGTCTGTCAACTAGTGCTGCATTAGTTAGAGCCACTGTTGCAGAATTACCGACTGACACAAAAACAACTCGAATTTTCTCTGAGCCTGACAGACATGTGGACCGTTTTGTCGGCCAGGGCTTCGAGCTATGTTCCGATTCGCCGCTGATTCTAACCTTACATCCCGTTCCACATTTTGTGAACTTGACAAATCAGCCCGATGGCTGATATTAGCTAAATGGAGTGAACCACGTCTCTCAAACTTTGCATTTAGGAATGGAATTGTCTTTAGAAGATGTTAAAACTTTTATTTAGCTGACTCACCTCAGACTGGAGCCCGCCATGGTGGGGGAGCAGAGTCGGTGGGCTGCATCTAAATCGCGGAAGAGCCACGGTGGGCACAGCCTCCCTCTTGGAACGGAGACGTGCAGAATCGCGGGTAAAATGCTGGTTGCAAACTACAGCACTAGGCGGGAGCTGAATCTTTTCCAGACACGCAATCACTGGCGCCTAATTTCTAAGTCCAGCGGAAAGGAGTGCAACCCGACAGAGCTCCGCAACCATACTACACTACACCATCTCACCATGCTAACACGATATGGAGCACTAAACCCGAACTACTTTCCTAATTACACTAACAGCCAAACAGTAACTAAACTACAATATCCAACAGCCAAGCTAACACTAAATAAGTATGTATAACACTAAAAGCTATGCTAAAGACTAGGATATGCTAATGCTATATGCTAATGCTGAACTACAGCTAGCCTCCTACACTCGCATGCAAATCCAACTCCCAACTCGCCACAAGGCGTGGCCGAGACTCCCGATGCTTTTATAACTTTGACACAGAGCTGCTACGTAGTACTCTACTGGTTTACGTAGTATCTTACTCTTTAGCCATTGGCAAAAATTTATTCAAAATGAGTCAAATTCTATGTTTTAAGCTGAAGGTGGAGCTATACTGTGGTATTTAGGCAGAATTTTTAATTTTTAAAGAAAATGCACCAAAATGCTAAAATAATGAATACACACATTTAAAACACTATTAGACACTCATTTATACAGTTCATCAGCAAAAAAAAGTTAATTTAGACGTTACTTGCTCTTTAAAGACTTTTGCAGGTGTTTTGAGTAAATTAGCTGGTTAGAGTGCGGCACAAGGGGTCTTCAATATTTAAACTTTTCACAATATTTTAATATTCAGAGGTAGTAATGTAGGGATTTTCGTTATAATCATCAAAATTAAAATGAACATTTGAAATATAGCAGTCTGTGTGTAATTAATGAATCTAATATACAAGTTTCACTTTTTGAATGGAATTACTGAAATAAATAAACTTTTTCATGATATTCTAATTTCATGACCAGCACTTGTTAGGCCACCTGCTCTGAAAGCTGAAGCACTTAGCTTTAATAAAAGTCACAAAATCTGCATGAACTTAGTTATTCCTGGTCTGATGTTTATATTACACTGGAGCACACAATTAAAAGCAAACCAGTAATACTGCACTGCACTTAAGTGCTGAGTTTGTGACTGTTGATGTAGAAGCAGTTGTAAATGCTGTGAGGATCCAGGAACACATGACATGTTCCAGATTAAGTCAAATAAACCAACAGTGTTTCAAAGAAGCATTAAGGTTCAAAATAAATGGAAAAATAAACACTATCATGCGGATTATCTGTTAATGAAGGGTTAACACAGCAAAGAGGACCTGAATTTGACCTGAAACGCAATACCTCCAGATTTTGCCCTTTGTCCAGGATTCCAGCTGATTCTTTAGCAGTAGGATTGGCTGGTGGGTTGGAGAGGATTCAGCCATCCATCCATTTTCAACTGCTTATCTGGAGACTGGTCGTAGGGGCAGCAGCCTAAGCCGAGAGGCCCAGACACCCCCTGCCAAGCTACGTGGGCCAGCTCCTCCAGGGGAATTCTAAGGCGGTTCCTGGCCAGCCAAGAGACATATGGGCCATTCCCATCTGTACCGGGTCGGCCCGGGCCGGGTAGCCCCAGTCGGCCCCAGCCTGGCCCAGTTGATTCCACACATCCTTGCCTTAAGCCCATGTGGGCTGATTCTACCCACCAATCAGAGGCTTGCTCTAATGGAAGGTGTGAATTTGCTGTCAGCAGTGGGTGTGTTGGCCCTGGTCGGCCTGAAGCGGACCCCCTCGAGAAGAGGGCTGAGAATGAGCCTTGGTTGGCCTGGAAAAATACCAGGCCACCCAGATATGTAAACAACCTACGCTACCCGGCCCGGGCCGACCCAGTACAGATGGGAATGGCCCAATAGTCCCTCCAACATGTCCTGGATCTTCCCTTGGGTCTCCTCCCAGTTAGATGTGCTTGGAAAACCTCACCAGGGAGGTGTCCAGGTGGCATCCTGATCAGATGCCCGAGTCACCTCAACTGGCTCCTCTCAACGAGGATTCAACTTCCTTTAAAGTTTGGTTGGTCTCACTGCCCAATGTCAGATTCTATCTTCCTGGAGGCGGGACTGAACCTTACAAACCTGAGCAATCTTCAGAGAGCACATGGTCTCATCCACATTACTCTCCAAGGCAAACACCTTCAAGTAGACGATCAATAAATATCCATCCATTGTTAGCCAATTATCCAGCGCTGACTTCCCTCTCCTGAGCCGCTTTGGCCAGCTGTTCTTGGCGAATCTCAAGGCATTCCCTGACCAGCCGAGAAACGGTCCCTCCAGCAAGTGTCCTGGGTCTTCCTTTAGACCTTCCATTAAACCTATCCAGGAGGCATCCTAACTAGATGCCCGAGCCAGCTCAACATCACAATTTTCTAAGGCACTTAATTAGGTTTTGCTACATGTCATCTTACAGCTTACATTCTAGCATTTTATTCATTGTTTCACTATCTTGTTTCGACCATCATTCATATCTTTTTTCCTGTGTTATCATTAGCAGTATAAATATAGAATTAATATGGTATTAGTAGCATTAGAGCTTCTGTCTCAAATTATTATGAAGGTGTGATTTCCACGGACTACCAAGAGACCTGGTTTAATTTTAAATCAACTACCAAAATAATATAATTCATATTTATATGGAATTCCACATCTTATTATTTTTTAAAAGTAACCAGTTACATTATGTTACATATAATGTCCAGCCAGTCAGGAGGTGAATCAAATTTCACACCTTTATTATTAATTAGAAGTTTTAAAATCTCTTTGCTGGATTTCTGTTAAAACGAAGGAGGCCTCCCTTCTTTTATCTTCATAAGCGCTGACTCATCGAATGCAACCAAGTCTGATGCCTGTTAAAGCTTTACTTTGATCATAAGATTGTTTTGGTCTTGAGAAAAGAGTGAATGTGTGTTTTATTGTTTTTGTTTCTTAATTTGTGTTCATGCTTATGTGTAACTTGGGAATAGAGGACGCTCAGAACCCAACGTTAACTAAAGCTCAAATCTTTCACTAGATCTGATCAATAGCCACATTTACATGTGCACAATTAATCTGATTGAAAGCCCAATCAAATAAAAATTTCTGCTTGTAAACATGTCAATCATAACATTCTGATCCAATTCAGCAGACAAGAGTGTAATTTCAATCTGATTGAGAGAGGTGGTTTTGTCCGATCATCACTCCTACTGACGTGCATGTAAACAGCCATTCGGATTGTTGGAGTAAAACAATGCCCACTGTGCATGTGTGCAACAGCTAGCGAGTCTCCCCACTGTCATTTGGACTGCCTGATCTAAATAAATGATGGCCTAATTAGCAAGCGCCGGCTTTTACATTTGATGGCAAGCTGTACCCGTTTCAGTAATATCTAATCCAGAACTTTCATTTTTTGGAAGTAAAATAAAAATCTGATTATTGCACAAATCATTCGACAAACTTGTTCAAGTCTGTATGAAATATACGCAGATTCATTGTGGAGTTTGCAGCACAGATCCCCGTTTCTGTGAACACAGCAGCTGTTTCTGCAGCAGGTGGACGGAGACGTGCTCGTAAAGAAGACAGGGTAACATCGGTTATACACACCTGGTTTGAGTTTAAGAAGACTGACTTTGAGTAGAAAAACATCCTCAGTTAAATATTCTGGACGACTATCTGTGTAAAAGTGCGTTAACGCAGCTGACCTGAGATGCGGTTTGTTACATGATGAACTAGGTATGTCCCGATCAGGTTTTTTGTCCTCGAGTCCGAGTCGTTTGATTTTGAGAATCTGCCGATACCGAGTCCCGGTCCGATACTTTCGATCAATTAAAAAAGAAAGAAAATGAAGAAACAGTTCCAGAATGTTCCTTATTGTTTGAATGCTGTAAAGCATTTAAAGTTTGCAGCCGCAAGCGAAACGTAGCGGGAAAACCGGTAAACAAAACTGCTCTGTGTTTTAAAAAAAAGAACTACAGAATGGAATTAAAGATACGACAGCAAGAAAACACCTAAGATATAGTGATCCTGTTTCTCTTTATTATAGTTAGTCGGTTTATTGTTTGAATAAACTATTGTTTTCCTGCTTCTCTTTATTGTCTGAATGCTGTAAAGCATTCAAACTATAGTGATCCTGTTTCTCTTTATAGATAGTTAGTTATTAGTCAGTTTATTATTATTCTGCTTCCGTACATTATTTGGCATTTAACTACTTCCACAATTCTTCAACTATTTACACAATTTTGGCATCAAAACGTTCAGCTCATTCAGCTTATGCCGGCAATGACTTTTGGTATTAAAATATTTTATACTTTTTGAGATATTCAGCTTTTTCGGCAATTTTTGGTCCCGTTGAAATGAATGGGATTGCTCAATTTTCAGCTGAATCCTATCACTTTTTTGAACTCTTACTCTTTTAGGTTAACTTTAACCTAGAGACTTCATTCAAGTTTCAACAAACTCACAAGACTTTCAGCTATTACTGGTTAAAAAATCTTTTACATATCTATTACAATTTTTCTAAAGTCACAGGTAGAAGTTGAGATACGGCTTGAAATTTTCAGAAAAAATCTCAAAATTATAATGGGCAGAGATAGGAGCAATGACCCTCCTTTGCTCCATTTCTGGCATTGTCCTGAGAAAACCGTAAGTCTGATTGAAATGAGACGCATGCTGGCTTGCAGCTAACGGATATGCCTTCGTTTTGAGCTATAAACTCCAAACAATGTGGTTGTACGGTTCATTTGTTTGAGAATATTTGAATTTAAAAAAATGTCTCTCACCACTCTAAACTGAAAATTCCGCACTCTAACTTTTGACCTTCACATTTTCTGGAAACAACTCTTTCCAACACCCAGACCGTTTGGAGTACCGAAACAAATTATATCTCAAAAAGTAGGAATTTTTGTCAGCTTTTCAGAATGGTTTCATTTTATCTGTAAGTGTTACCGTTCTTTCTCTACAAGCCTCAGAAGGAGGAGAGACCCTGATTCTGTCTCACTGAAACCCATTTTAAAGGAACAGAG